TACTTCCCTAGAAAAAAAACTAATGAGTTCGATTATCTCGGCATGAAGCTTGACACAAAGCTAACATGAAAAAGTCGCATTGCAAAAGTAGCAGAACGGGTCTCTAATAGACTAAAAGTACTGAGCGAACCGCTAGTAGCAAATGGAGCTGTGCACGTTCAACCCTAAACACCACATACACGATGTTTGTTCAACCAATAATGCTGCAGTGCTGTGAGCCACTCATAAAAGCCTCTGAGGTGATTCTCAAACCACTCGAGAAGACGCTCAACCAGGCATTACGACTAATTATAGGAGGGATAAAATTAACACCCATTGATGCAATGATCCTGGTTATAGGGAACACCCAAAACATTTCCACATTAAAGAGATGGCCTTGTTCCTATATGAGAGGCTACTGCGTATTCCGGTGGGCAAATTCTTCATCACCTACGAAAATAGGCCAAGACACCTAAAAATGCAATCTGGTCTAATATAGAAGGCCATAGAATTGAAGAAAGCATTACAAATTGATGAAAAACCAAAGGTCTCAGTCTACCCATGAACCCATTAGCAGACATTGATGTAGCGTGTTGCACCCAACTGCTTGACCACTTCAGGAAAGCAAACACCCCTCCAGAACCAATGCGCTTACTGGCCCTTGGGACAATCAATGCCATCTATCCTGCAGATCAATGGCTCCAAGTCTTCACTGATGGGTCATATATAGAAAACCAAGCAAACTTTGGTGCAGGTGTTTACTCTGAACTATTCTCTTTCTTCGTAGCATCGGGACGCAATAGATCTGTACTCGAAGAAGAAATAGAGAGCATGAAGTTAGCATTAGACCGATTGTGCGGCCTGGATACGAAAAAATTTCCAAAAGCTGTATTTCTTTCGGACTCACAGTCAGCATTATATTCAATCGGAAACAGTGAACCACCCAAAACAGCCGAGATATACGAATGCAAAAAACTGCATCAGTTACCGAGAAATAAAGAAAAGAGTAGTTCTTCAATGGGTCCATATACACTGTGGCATTGTAGGCAATGAGCGCGCTGAAACACTTGCTAAGAAGAGGACTAAAATTTTGCGACGCATAGACCGGCCGATGTCTTTCCACGTAATGAAGACCTTAATGAGGAAAGAATACAAGACTTCAAGGTGCAACGAACTTAAAGCTCGAACAAAGAAGAAATAGTGGGCAGTGGCACTCTCCGAAATCGCCGACTGGCCAAGAATCGATGTTGTTGCTGAGTTTAGACTACGTACCGATCATGATTGCCTGGCGAAGCGCCTTCACAGAATAATAGTATACGCTCAGCTAATATGCCCTTTATGCGACCTACAAGAGGAAATGGCAAAGACCCACCTGATTCGGTGTCCAGCCCTAAAGACACAGAGATACTTGGAAGCCAGAAGACAACTAATGAACTACTGTTAACTGTCCTAAAGCGTTAATATATGTGTCTCCTCCCTCCCCTTATGAAAGGGGTAGTAAACAAAAGGTCAAACGATAAATATCATTAAGCCTGCTATTTTAAATAATCACAGCCATCATTGGTCATTTAGTTGACTTTGGACTTCGCATAGTGGAGGAACATCAAAGTCACAATATGTTGGGAGGGGGTACAGAAGATTGATTCGCAGATATGAAAAGGCGGACACAAAGATGGAGAAAAAGATAAGGTTGGGGGAGTTCTGTGGAAGCGGTTGAATATGAAATAGAGTGGGATCATGGTAATTTGAAGTCAGAAGTCAACTGAAGGTTAATAGACCTTTTTTGCCGTAAGAGTATGCGTTGACGGGGGAGCACCAAGTGGAGGTTAGTCTATTGCGCACCCCGTTTATGGTATTAGATCTCCATGAACTGTTCATCTATAAATTAACTGATGCGCGCTATTTGCTCTCGAAACGTTATGTTGTCCAACCTATAATTAAAATCATGCGTTAGCATTTCCATATTATTTTCAACTGTCAGTTGAGATTTGTCACAATTAATTTCTTCTAGAATGCTCTAATTCTTCAAGAGGTGGGGGGGGGGGTTGAATTGGAACTACAGAAACGATTGGGGTTAGTCAAATGGAATAAATTGGGATACTGTTAAAAACCTCTCTCCGAGAGACATGCCGCTCAGGCTGACGGTCCATTCATTTGATTATTTTTCAAAGGTCGAATTAATGGCTGTTTAGCTATAGTATTGCCAATAGTGACAGTGATGTGTAACCTTTCAAAGAGACGATTGACAGGCGAGCATAAAGTTGAGCTCTAGAAAATGCATTTTCGATCTTGGAACATGACATGTACTTCGCAGCAACAAGTCGTGCTTTTTTCATCTTAATAAAATTATTTTACTCCACAAAATATTCTGAATATTTACTTATTTCAAATGGTAGGCTTTGTGATATTTATCATTAGCCCTTAAACTTTGACTTCAGCTTCCCCCAAGGGTGGGGGGGGGGGTACATTTATAGCAGTTAATTAATAGCAATTCATTAGCTGTCTACTTGCTTCCCAGTATCTTTGGCTTTCCGTCCTTGTCTTTAGGGCTGGACACCGAATCAGGTGGGTCTTCTCCATTTCCTCATGTAGGTTACATAGAGGGCATGTGGGTCGAGTGTATACTCCCAATCTGTGAAGGTGTTTTGCCAGGCAATCGTGTCCGGAACGTAGCCTAAACTCAGCAACGCCTTCGATTCTTGGCCAGTCGGCTATGTCGGAGAGTGCCACTGTCCACTGTTTCTCCTTTCTTCGAGCTTTAATTTCGTTGCACCTTGAGGTATGGAATTCTCTCATGATTAAGGCCTTCATTGTGTGGAAAGACATCGGCCGGTCCATGCATCGCAAAATCGTTGTCCCCTTCTTAGCAAGTGTGTCAGCAATCTCACTGCCTTTAATGCCACAGTGACAAGGAATCCATTGTATTACCACTGTTTTGTTTTTCTCTCTCAGCAGCTGATAGAGTTTTCTACATTCCTTTATCTCAGTTGTTTTGGTTGGCTCTCTGTTTCCAATAAAGTTTATTGCTGACTGTGAGTCCGAAAGTATCACCGCTTTGGTGAATTTCGTATCCAGGCAACATAATTGGCATAGTGCTATCCTAATGGCCTCCATTTCTCCTTCAATAGCGGATCTATTGTGTCCCGCTGCTGCGTAGAAAGAGGAGAGTTCAGAAAAGACACCTGCACCAATGTTTGCTTGGTTTTCTATGTATGACCCATCAGTGAAGACTTGGAGCCATTGATCTGCAGGATAGTTGACGTTGATTGTCTCAAGGGCCAGTGAGCGCATTTATTCTGGAGGGGTGTTTAATTTCCTGAAGAAGTCAAGCAGTTGGGTTTAACACACTACATCAGTGTCTGCCAATGGGTTCGTGGGAAGAGAGAGGCTTTTTGGTTTGTCATCGATTTGTATTTCTTTCTTCAGTTTTATGGCTTTCTGTATAAGACCAGATTGCGTTTTCAGATGTCTTGGTCTATTCTCATAGGTGCTGAAGAAGTTATCCATGGGAATGCGCAGTAGCTTCTCAGACAGGATCAAGGTCTTTTCTTTGATAAGGGAACATATTGTGGTGCTTCCTGTAACTAGGAGCACTGCATCAATGGGTGTTGATTTTATCTCTCCAGTAATTAGTCGTAATGCCTGGTNTTGTCGCACCAGTTTGCTAGTAGTTTAAGTGCACAATTTAAAGCACTTTCTGTCCTCTCCTTAGCGTTTTTCTTAGGGGCGGAATACCATAGAACAAGATCATCTGCATAGAGTAAGCACTTGATGCCCGTGACTGTCTGTACCAATTCGGCTATGTCATTGATGAAGACATTGAAAAGAGTGCAGCTTGTGACAGCTCCCTGTGGAAGGCCTGTTTGCAAAAGATTGGATTTTGATAGAGCATTTCCATATCTGACTTTACATGATCTTTGTCCAATCAATGCTTTTATCCAATTTGACATGTTATGCTTAATACCAATCTTTGCCAATTTTAGAATTAGGTTCTCCTTCCATACTAAGTTATATGCTGATTTGAAATCGACGAAAACAGCCGTAAGGGTATTTCTAGCATCAAGGGCATCTTTGATGTGTTGGGAGAAAGTGGCTACTTGTTGGTTCGTTGTTCTTTGTGGCCTAAAACCTGCTTGTTCACTCCTAAGAATATTGTTGGTCTCAAGGAACCAGGTCAGCCTCCTGTTAACCATTCTTTCCATAAGTTTAGCCAGCACGCTTGTGAGGGAGAAAGGCCTATAGTTGTCCAAGTTGCTAGGGTCTTTGCCCTTTTTTAGTACTGGTATTATCATGGCAACTTTCCATTGGTTAGGTAGGAGACTGGTCTCCCAGATTTTGTTGTAAAGCGTCAGCATGGTTTCCTTGGCTTTGGGTCCCATTCTAATTAGAAATTCTGGATGAATACCGTCTTTGCCAGGAGACTACTTACACTTTAGTTGTTTTATCGCAACATTAATTTCGCAAGGTCTTAATTGTTCAATAAGTACGTTATTTGGTGTTGTCGTGTCTTCCTTAATTTCACCAAACTCTCTTACATGTATATATATATATATATATATAGAGAGAGAGAGAGAGAGAGAGAGAAAGAGAGAGAGAGAGAGAGTCCACTTTATTAATTTATCTGTTTCTGCTGGTTTTAGCTAGATCTAATGGATAAAATGATAGAATATTCCACTAAGATATATTCACAATCAAATAGAGCAAACTGAGTAAAGGTAAGACGGGATCAATGCAAATGAGTTCCTAATATTCCACCAATGATGAAGAAAAATTTCACCTTAGTTATAAAGTTCAAATCTGGTCCATGTTAGTTAAATTAATCAATTAATAACGTGCTTGTTTATTCGAAAAAAATAGTTAGGGAATTTTTTTTTAAATTGCATTACGCCAGGTGAATACAATTGAGTAAGAAATCCCATAATTGATAAAAAATCAATATTACTTGTTATTTAAAGAACGTATCAAAGGAAATAATCATAAACAAGTAATGAAAATAAAACGAATAGAATACATATATGATAAAATTGAAAAAAGAAGATTTATTAGAAGAACTTCTATATGTTTTAATATACAAGGTAAAGTATGCGTAGTTCATCGTATTGCGGTTCTGCCGTAATCTGAATTTACAAACAGGTCTTTCTCTGCATTTAAATAACTTCAAACCAGATTTATCAAGGTATTCATGTCCTTTATCTAAATATTTTATTATCGCTTTAATTTTCGTAACATTTAATGTTACTCTATTTAGACAAAGTGTTTTATTATTCACAGCACTATTTAACTAATTTTTTCATTTTTCCCGATGTTTAATTTATTCTTTCCTAAATGAATGCTGAATTGATTTAAACTTTTGCTGTCTATTTTCTCAGAAATGGGGACTGTCAAAGAGACAGATATTGTAATCGCAAAATTTGATTACAAAGCCACAGACAGTCAGGAGCTTGACATTCAAAAGGGTGAAAAACTAACCCTTATGGATGATACCCAACACTGGTGGAAAGTTATGAATTCTTTCGGGAATGTGGGCTACGTCCCTAGTAATTATGTCAAGAGATCAAAGCATGGGCTGTTTTCGAGCCTACGCAATACTTTAGGTCGTCGAAAAAGTAGGACCGATCTTTCAATGCCAGCTGCAGGGACTTCAACTGGTGGTCGTCCACCAGCACCTACTCCATCATCGATTCGCAATGGTAGTAGTAATACAGGTTCCCAAGTTGGTGTGAAGGCGAGTGCCGAATCCCTTGATTATGTCGCTCCTTCACTTCCGTCATCAGGTTCTGGTCAGTCACCTTCTAGAGGAACCGCTGCTTCAATTGGTTATCAACCAGTGTCATCCACTTTTCCAACTAATGGAACTACCACTGCTTCTGATAATCCTCGATCCTCCTCTGCTATTTTGCCTTCTAGTCATCAACTTCCACCCGTAAGTTTCTTTCCTAATGCGTTGGTTATTTTCGTTTTTCTAAGGTATCGAGATCCATTCATCTGTTTCTATATCTGTCGATGGATACTGCATCTTTTCGCTTGGTTGTTTAAGGAGCTTCAGCTGATTTATCCCCAAATCGAGTGTTTTGCTAATTTGTGAACCAAGGCTTTATTTAAACTTCAGTGGTCGGAATCATTCGTATTCTTCGGCTCTTTTGGTCTGCCTCCATGTCATATTACCTAGTTTGTGGACAGCTTTGATTTACATTTCTGTTACTGGTCTTTCTTTCTAACTAGCTGGAGAAATTCGTTGCTTCTTGGCTATTCATTTAGTCCTTTTTATTTTTTTACCAGGGGTTTAGTCGTAAGTACTTGAAAATTAGTCTCCGCCTTTTTCCTAGCTTTATCGCCGAGTTCGAAATAGATTATTTTTCTTCTCTTTGGAAGCGTTACTGCAATTACCGTTAGTATGACCTATACTTTTTGGTACGCTTTGCTATGGAAGGAAGCTACTATCCCTCTAATCTTTCTTCCTAAAGGCTAGTGAATAGGTCCTACTTGAAGAGGTCAATATTGGAATCCAATTTCAAGAGGATTGTTATGCATTTGAGTAAAAAACCATGGTAATAACCTCCTTGGATCTGATGGTCGAAACCCTTTTTATTAGAAAGAGGGTTTTCAACTGCACCCAAAATCCGTATTCTTCAAGCTTTTAATTTGACCAGGTTTTGAGAATGGAGGGTCTCACTTTGCATGTTTAATCTTTGTCAAGTCTCACAGCAGTCTCCGCCAATTATCGTGCAGAATGGAAACTCCTGTACTTTTATGATTTATCTTGCATAAATGGGTAAATTTGGCTTAATTAGGAAAAGGCTAATATGATATGATTAAGTTGTTTTTTGTAATCGATTTTTTACACCCATTGCATCTAGTCTCTTTGTCCTCGATTTCGTAGTTGTCTTCTTGGCTGATAATAGGCATTTTTTTAAATTTTTTTGGTTTTAGTTCTATGTGGCATGAATTGGTGTTCATCCATTTATAAGATATAAATATTCCTCATTTCTCCATGAGATAACCGACAGCACGTACTTTTCACCCTTGGTTTTTGTTTACTTTTGTTTCCCCTTCACTTAGCGTTTACAGTTTTAAAATTTGTTTAGTTAGTTTATTATTTGGTGTCGTCGTTTGCTCTGAATAATTGAGTTGATAATCTTTCAAGCATCTGTGAAGAAAGAAGTGGTGCTTTTCAAATTTTTTTTATAACTTATTCAATTCAGGTTGTCATTTAACGGTATTGGAATTGATTTATGGAAGAAGTGATTACGGAAATGTAAATGAATCCAACCCCCCTCGTTTTTGGATCTGTTGCCACCAGAACACAACGAATACTACTGCTACTAACCCGATATAATCAAATCCACCCTTTCTCTCTCAGTTTTAATTCTTTTTTTAAAAGTCAGGCAACTATTTTCCAAATCGTCTTTAAATTCGCCTTGTTTATGATTGAATGGAGTTAATTATTGCTGAATAATTATTCCCTATTTTTGATCGTGGTGTTTAATTGTCTTATTAAACTCGAATAGTACAGAAATTTGATGCGGCCTTGTCCCTCTTTCACAATCTAATAATTGATTCAGTGGAGTTTGTAGCAAGTTTCCGGATTTACAGCAAATGGTTATATTCGGCTTAAAGTCAAACTAAGGATAATTTTTACACGTGAACCATTTTGGTAATTACCAGTTGCTGATAATAGTGAGGTGCAGTTTTATAACTAGAATAAAAAAAAATTTTTCCCGCTACCAGCATTTCTTCAAAGTGGAGTTCTTGTTTCTTTTGACTATCCATTTGATCCCTAAAATTTTTTGAAAAAAAACGATTATTGTACTCCTCCAATCGTGTTACAAGTAACATTTGACATTAGAATAGGCTAGCAATCTCCCCAATACGGAATCATGCTCCAACAGTACACTGAATGAAAATTAATGGGAAAATCAAAATTCCCAAATATATTTTTTTCTATGATTTCTCGACTTATGATACTAGTGGTCATCGAGACAATGTGGTGGCTTCCTCCTCTTTGTGCTACCTGATCCACCCTCCTTATCTTTGGTATATTTTTTATTGATTTCATGACCTTCTATTTTAAATAAGAGGCATCTTATCAAAATCTTTTTAGACCAAGCTTCCTACAGTATAAAGAAAAGTACATACTTATTTTAAAGCAGTGAATAGGATCAATTTCACCAACCCCAGTAGCCGGTTCTTTTGAAAGCGACTGGAAATGAGAAAACTTGATTATATAGTTCATTTCTCGGCCCTACAGAAAGCTTTAACTCTATCTTTGTCTAGTTAAAATTTAAAATGAACGGACATGCCAATTAAGTTCATACTCAAAGGCTTGAGCCTTCTTCTATGCCATAGGAAATGTAACTCTCTCTGTTTAAGGAAAGCTGGTGTTTTGGTGATTTAATTGTTTAGACCTAAGAGGTTAGAATATTACTTGGTGAATATCTTGGCTATTATAAGTCAATCACTCCTTGTTTTTTTCGAAAAGTAAAGGGGCCCACCACCCAATCCGTTGTGCCCTATTGGTTTCAGACATGTCATTTACTTAGGCGACTAAATCGTTAGTTTGCGAAGCTAGTGATCTCGGGGATTCGATGTCAAAGTTGGCCCACTTTGCTTGCGAATGACCAAATACATTGCTTACCTCTGACTTATATGAGTATTGAAGGACGCTTTCCTAAATGAATTTAAATGATTTATTCCTCAGATTAGTTAAAACTACCTTATGAAATACTACTTATGGAGCCAAATAATTAGATTTTTCTGTTTATAAACGTGCTGTCGACGTATTCTTATTATGCTGATCGAGATGCTCAAGTTTAATAATTTTTTCCCCAATAATACCGCAAACCAAATATCGACTTTTCAAATCGTCCAAATCGACAATATAGATCACAATAACTAAGTCGAACTGCTAAAGTTGTTTAATTAATCGCGATTAGTGTTTCATATTGTTCTTACCAAACTGTTCCGTGATATTATCTTTATTTGTCTGTGTCGTTGTCTGTCGTTGGCTAGTGCATATGTATATATTTTTCGAATTCAATTTTTGTCAAGATCGTTTTGTTTTGCTGACAACGGTAACCGATTATTCCCAAACGTATTCAGTAAAATACCTCTTTTTTGCTTCAAAGTTGTTCTTTTTTTGTCTCACCTCCACCCCCCCCCCCACTCAAATATTTTTCAAGCAATAGTAGGCGGAGTCTCTTTTTTAATCTTTGCATTAAATTTTTATTCTTTAGGTCAACTTTTTAGTCTCCCATTGTGGTGCTTCTGCTATCTTTTGCACGAAATGATCGCGCGAGGAAAACATTCACCGTCCTTCGCTTCCTTTGTATTTTTTCCTTCTGCGCTTTCCGCATATCTTTTTCCCCACCCGCTCGTATTGGCCACTGCTTAGTTAACTCACATGTGTCTTCTATATAATTTGCTTCATTTTTTTTGGTTTCTGAGCAAATTTTCAACGCAAAAGGGGAGTGGTATACGGTTTCGAATCTACTTCCCAAGCTCAATGCATCGAAAACGCTTGACTTGGCAAGTTAAATGGCACCACGGGGGAGGGGGGACATTTTATGCACAAACTGAAGCTCCTCCCTCATTTTCTTGTTTGTCCTCTGTTGTCCCTTACCTGCATCACTGAATGCGCTCCAAAATGGGCATCGGTCTCATAGCACTCCTAATGTTTGCAATTACCGCTTATAAGACAAGTGGGGTGCACTGTGTAAAGGTATTAAGAGGAGGGATACACGATATTTTTCATCATAATATCAATTTATCCTAATTTTTTTTTCACTGACGTTTTCGCGGTGTTCTATTAGCTGTGATTTTTTCGTTTTCCTATTACACTTGCTATTTTGTAGAGTTCTAATACCCCCCTCCCCCCCCCCCCCCCCCCCCCTCTCTCTAGTTTTTTATTCCGTTTTTTCTCTAATTCATTTTTGTTGCGTGGATTTGAATGAACTCGACAGCTTTGTGTTTGTTCCATGGATTAAGTTCATCACTTTGCGACCTCAGAATGATCCCTCCAACTGGGGCAGTATTTAATTGAGTTGTTTTTCTGCTTTGAATTCATTCGAAGTCAGCTACTATTGTTGTGTTAACTTTCCGGATATTACAATATGCTGTTATTGCTTTTTTTATGTTATATGTTTACCTTACCCTATATGTGTCCCGGGGGAGCAATTTGATTTAACAGATTATAACACAGTGGTCGCAGCTGTGAAATTGGAGTCCAATCCTTTAGCTTGCCATCTTGTCAGACACTGCATTGAATGGCATTTGGTGGGTTACACTGTCCTATTTGAATTTTTTCGCAATTGGCTTTGTGCGTGTGTGTGTATGTGTGCATGGAAGCTGAAAGGACTTATCATCCTTTTCTTCTTTGCCACATCTTCGTTGGTGCTTTTTTTTCCTTTCTGCCTTCTGCAAACAAGTATATTTTAGTCATATGGCCCAATGTGTTCTGACTAATTCCCATACGGTCTTTCCAATATCTAGTCTCCATCGCTCCATTTTTTTTGCTGCTTTTCGAAGAGGTAGAAGAAGAGAGTAGCGAATTAATGCATCTAACAAATCGCTGTTGAATCTCCTAGCTTGTTAATTATTGTCAAATTATCGGATGCAGTTTGAAACTAAGATAGGAGTTGATGATGCAGTGCTTTCAATCCTCTACATTCATTTGGGAGAAGGAAAAGTGGAATTTTAAATTTCCTGTCTTGAATAGTGAGGACATCGAGTGGTGCTCGATGCTTTTTTCTTCCTTTTTAAGATCTTTTTTGTTTTGAGGCATTGAGCGCGTTAAAATTCCGAGGAAGCTTTGCTCTGTGCACTGCACAATGGACGATCAAATTGAATAGTTGTAATTTGTGTTATCTATGGTCCACTTTTCTTCTCACTCACGCATACACAATCATATACACCCCCCCCCCCCCCCTTGTCCACTAAACACATTCAATTTGTCCATTAAGTAGCTGCTGTCTTTCCTTATAAACAAATTTGCCAATTTTGAGGTCAAGTAGAACTCTAGCAAGCGCCCTCCAATCTCTCCTTTCAGTCTTGTCTATTTCAATTATACTTCCAGCTCTTCACATCTCTGCCAATTTGCTTCTATATCTCGCCCTTCTCAATTGAAAGTTGATCCATTTTCATTGTAGCACAAAAGGAGACAATTGCCCTGAAGACATTGCATTGTCATTTTTGCTGAGGACGCTACATATAGATAAGGCTTTTAAATTCAAAATTAGGGATTATACTAAGGATATGGGCAAAATGCAACTTGAAATTCAGTAATAGGTAGATTAACCAATCAACCGATGTTCATTAAATCAGTAATCTTTAATATCGCAAAACGAGTACTGTCACTCTTTGATTAACTACTAATTGTTCAGTCGGCTCCAAGATTTCTTCCCTAATGCTTATTGTAAGGTTCAGTTCTCATATCGCATGAACTAAACTAAACGTGATAATTTTAATTAATTATGCTGGGCTATGTATTAGTATTCTCCGCAAGATTTGTTGACGATTGGCGGAAGATTATATAAATTTCTCCTAAGTCTCCAATTCGAATATGCCCTGCCTGGTTAATGCTTCTTGGTGTTTCGTTTATTCGGCCTTACATTGAAAATAATAATTTCGCTTTAGAAAATCTCGGTGTATTTACTAGTTCCAATTTTGAGCAAATGGAATAACGGCGCCTTGCCTTTATGTGCTCTCAATGATGGTGTAGTTTGATTTGTTTGTTTTGATCACCTGCCATCTCAACCATTCACCTTCACACGACATTTTTTTGTATTTTTAAGGAGGTTTGTGCTCGAAGTGTGAACTTTGCGTTACTAATCTTTTTTTTCTCTGGACGATTTGATATTACTTGACCTGTTATGATGGTTGGCAAATGATTCTTGGCAAAATTATCTTCAAAGCTCTGTCACTTGTCCCTAACTTGTTCACAACTCCGTAATTTTTCTTATTTGCTTAGCTACTTGAATCCATAATTTTTTTGACGCGGATTATAACCTTGTAAGATCAGGATATCTGTTATGCTTCCGGAGGTTTACTTCCCTATTCAGATCATCATGTTAACTGTCAGTGTACAACAGCTTGTATTCCATTGGTTTATTTGATTTTCCTATTAATGGAATGCGCCTTATGTGCAACCGGAGCGCGATGATTATGTAAAGGTTGTTGTCGTTGTCATAGGCGGCATCCATGTGTGTGTGTGTGTAGATCACAGAAGGCCTTCTTTTATATGATGAAATAGCTTCAGTATTTGACTTTGGTTGAGCGCTGTTTTTGTTCCAATACTGGTAAGCACTGTATTGATTCTACCTTTTCCTGTGAAATATGTAATCGATTTTATTCATTTTGATTAGCCATTCACGCTAAAGGGTTTAACTTTCTATCAGCTTTGTCATTGGTGAGTTCGTGTGACTATTAGCATTCTGCTTTCTCAACCTTTTGAGGAAAAGTGGATCTGAAATGGCACAACCGATAATCATGACCAAGGTCCTTTGAATATTATGGACATGAATTTGCTCAATAATCCAGACGACGAATCCTGGAGTTTGAAATTGTGGAATGTGAAGTAGCTATATTTACCAAATCTGTGAGAGCCCAATTCGAAGCTTTACTGAAATAGGACTCATTGTTACTATGGTTTATCATTTTCGTGATTAGAGTTCGTTCTTGAGTCGCGGTGCTTACGGCTTTTAACGAGTGGACTAACTTAAGCAATTGTGTAACTATTCAGTTCTCATTTTGTCCATTAATAAAATTTCGACGCGCTTGATGAAGATTAACAATGGTGATTGGTGGTGGATAGGCAGTATTTAGTAGAACCTATTACTCTTTGAAGCATGCTTAGTGTTATTCCAAATAAAGCGAAAATAGTTCTTTTTTATTTTTGATTTTAAATTCATATATATTTCTCTTTTTAGACTCACCCAGGAATGCGCGATACATCTCCCCCTAAAGTCCCCACGGCTGCTGACAATGTCATCTTGTCCAATCCCACGAAAAATGGTCCTTCTGACAGTAATACCAACTGGCTTCCAGTCTCTTCTTCCCAGGGTGTCTCTGGCTTATCCTCTGAAACTCAACAATTTTCCTCCGCACGAAGTACCGGCGGTAGTGCTGGTGGAAGTATCTCCTCTCGACAGATCTGCGTAGCGCGTTTTACTTACAAGGCCTCCCAATTAGATGAATTGACCATCAAACCAGGTGATCGCATCTGTGTTCTTGAGAAGAGTTCGGATGGATGGTGGCATGGAATTCTACTTTCACCTGATGGTAGTGCTTCAATAGATCCTTCTGGACAAAAATCGGAAACCATTGGGTGGTTCCCCTCCAATTATGTTGTTATGGAGCAAGCACCAAACAAGTGAGCTTCTTTTTCGTTTCCTATGCTTCATAGCTTTTCATTATGAGAAGCATTTAGACATAGACGAGGCTGGCAGACACAATTATTGTGTTTTAACGAATCAGGGAACCCTACTTTATCTAAGCTCCAGTTTCTTCCCCAACTTGAAACTTTTCCTTAAAATCCGCGATTTAGCGATATCTGGCAAAAGTTATTCAGCGAAATTTTGCGTTTTATGCTGTTGCTTGGTACCGTGGGCTTTTCGGGAGGTTTTCTTTTTTTCCTTTTCAAATCGTTGTTGTCTACTTTCCTATGGCTATTGGTAGATAATTCACATTTAAATGTTAATAATTTCACTTTTCCTATCAGATTATCTTTGTGTTTTTTTTTAATTTTCGCCTATTCTAGAATTTTGCATTTGCTTTAACTTACACACCAGGTACCAATTTTCGGTCAATATTCATTTTTGCGTAAAAGTAATAATTTTGTTGCTATGATTACTTTCCAAAGTGTGGATGATTAAATCAGACTATTTCTATTTCTCCGAAATAAGATTGCAGGCCACAACATTTAATTTTTGGTGGGAGATTCTGACAATTATTCTTTATTTTATTTAATGGTTGGTTTAATCATCAGTCAACTTATCTAAAAATATGAGAATATAGTGTTTCTCTGCAGTTCTAAATTGAATTGAATGCTTCAGTCTCTATTTTTCCTTTTTATCAACATTTTCGATTGATTGTATTGTTTCTTTCATCCTATATGTATTTTTAATTTTCAATTTTATCTCCTCTCTGTCATTTGGCCTGTTTTTGTAAGATTCTGTGGTAAACTGGGTAGGTGGGGATGTTGACATCGGAAGACACTGATAGAAGGAAAATGGCAATTATTTTTCTCCCCTCTTGCCTTATGGAACTGATGATTGTCCACTAATTTGCGGCCAAGAAGCCTAATAATTTCATAAACTTATTTATTTATTTATTTATTCCAAATGGCAGGCGTTTTGATAGATATCATTAGCCATTTAGCTGACTTCGGGCTTCACAGAGGGAAGGTTTATCAAAGTAGCAGAAAGTCGAGGGGTGGGGAACAGAAGAGCGATTCACAGATGTTTAAGTGGCAGACAGACACAAAGGTAGAGAAAAAGGTAAGGTGAGTACTGTGAAAGGGGTCGAATATGACAACAGGGGGGGGGGGAGGGTCGTGGTAGTTTGAAGTCAGAAGTCAAATGCCGGTTAGTAGACTTTTCTGCCTTATGAGTATACGTTGCCCAGGGTGCACCACGTGGAGGTAAGTCTATCCAACACCCTAATTTCATAAACTAGTAGTCTGTGAAATGACTTTGGGGAGATAAAATGCTTAGAGAAGCTCAAACTGCCTGCCCTCGTTTCAACCAGTTTCAGACAGTGCGGTTGGCCGTTGAAATGGATCTAGTGTTCCTTGGCTTAATGGTCCTATTTCCATAAGATTCACACATTTCGCAATGTATAAATATCGTAACATCATGACAATTTGAGTGTTCGTGTTGAGAGTGGGTTCAAGTTGAGTGAGCACAGCTCACAGAGATCCTCTGACTTAAAATTATTCTCTCTTTTTGCAACACTTAGCCTGTTAACTGCGGAATATTGTATATATTCATTTTTTTTTGTTTTTTTTCTAATCATTAAAAGAAGGAAATTAATTTTGGCTGCAAAACAGATACTTATGATTAGACTACTTGTCAAAAGCACTGTTTAACGTAGACAAGCGCTTGCTGCAATTTAAGGGACGTTTTGTGCCATTTGAATTTGAGTCCATTGATCTGAAAATGAGTAGCACTTTAGGCTAATATGGCTCCTTACGCAAATTGTTTGCTTTTCTCTGTCTGCAGACAAGTTTCATTGGATTTCGATCGGAATAGACTGCCACCCACTTAGAGCAGATGTGCCTGGTTGATATCAGTTACATGGTGCAATCGGGGTGATTTGATTTAATTATTATTTCGACCATGAATGAAAGTTAAGAGGTTCACGGTAAAGTGGGCATTATAAGTCTTTGTTCATCTAGAACTAATTTTTTGGGAGATTAGAGGCTATTTTTCATTCATATCTTCGACATACCGCTTGAAGAATAAAATTTGAGTCACTATTAGTCACTATACAACCTCCCAATCTGGCCATTCTGTTGCGTCTTTGGGATTAATGTGCTCTCCATTACTATAAAAAAATTTTTGATTTATGTAGTTTTTTGATGAATTTGATGCCACCTATGCTCCACAACGCATCTTCTTTTACTAAAAGTTACGTTGAAAATGTTTAATGAGTATATTTACATTTATTGTGCGACTTCATGCTTCAGATAATAAGCCATTCAGGTATAACCATCTACTCTTTTCCATTAATCCTATTGACCGTTTATGTTTTCCCGATTCAACGTTCGTTTTCCTGCTTCGAGACATCGTAGATACTGAAAGCATTTGTTCAATGTATTTGTAATTATTTGGGTCATCTTGTTCAATTATGCAGGAGGTTTCATTTGGTTTTCTTTTCAAAACTGCACACACACACATCGTTGGTATAACACAGATTTGAGAAAGAAGGGAATTTTTTGAGGATCTGTCCAATAAAATTGAAATAAGGTAAATCGAAAGAGGCTGGAATTCATTTCTACCTAGTTAATTCCATGCGATCCAGTTTCATGGAGTGTTGCCTATTATGCTTTACTAATTGTGTCTCTTGAAAGTTAGCAGCTTGAGATTTGCATTCTTTAGGTTTCCGTATTTTACATTTGAGGGTTTCATTCCGTTGACTTGTATACTAATATGATTTGAGTGCCAAATAGCACAATTCCCTTAACAAAGTGCTGAGTCTGGATGAAGCAGACTATTTTCACCTTCCCCATTTTAAAATTTTCTTTCCTTTTGGACATTAGTCTCCTCATTAATTTGCTCCAATATCTGGCCATCTATATGGTTCACGAATCCCTTGCTTGTATTAATTTTCACTATTGTCTAATTTCCTTTTAAAATAAACTAATTCACTTCACTTGGTCCTCTCATTTCTAATTCATTTATTTGCAATAGTCCACCTTCTCATACTTTCTCCTGGGAAATTAGAACCGGCTTAACTGGTATCCCTAGGCTCTAGTGCCTTTCTGCCATCAGCTTTACTTTACTGTGAGCAGAGTTCATTTAGTGTCTAATTCCCAGTAAAACCACAACTCTTGCTAAAAGGAGAACCGCATGGTATTTCTCTAATTTGGATGCGAAAAAATCGGCGAAGTAGATCTTTAGTTCTTATCCTTTTGCTAGTTCATTTATTTCTGCAGCTGCATGTTTTTCATGATCGATCCAACCTGGATGCATTATACTAGGAGAAATAATTCAATCTCCAAATCCATCCTCACTGTTCTTGTAATACGATTCTAGTTCCTTATCGTTGAAAGCTTACCGTGGAATTGGGGGGGGGGGTACTGTTTTCCCATTTATAGGCCGGCAATGATGATGGTGGTCGGCTTTTCTAATACCTGGTTTTCTGTTATAGCATATGTAGCTTCCCTAATTGGTTTAACACACCTTGTTATACTTTAAACAGTGGATATAAGTTTTAATCAGGCTTGTTAGGTGGTGCTAAATATTCCTCCTGTGGAGAATGGGCCATCTATAATTTTTTTGTAAAATTACCACGGGCAGGCCAAGCCCATATCTTATATCACACGTACACACACATTCATGCGAACAAAGATTAATTTCTGGGCGATAGGCCAATAAGGAGTTAGTCTGAGGAAGTGGCCCGACAACACCCCTGCTAATTTTGTTACAGTAGGTTATTCTGTTGTGTGTCTAGTTACTCTTAAGGTAAGGTTATTTAGTTTGCCTCATTATAACTTTCCTAATTCCTTCACGGTTTTTAGTTAGCAAGGAAAAATCCTCTAGTTGTCCCCTTGTCTCCTCTTTTTATAAAATCAATACATGGCGGTTTCGTATACAACAAAAAAAGCTTGAATTACCCTTGTCCTATTTTCATTTACTTGTGTCTTAATCAGCTGTTTCCTTTCTTATTTTGTTCCTTTCCTCTCTCCTACTGGATTTGCAGTCACTGTTGTCAAACGAGGACGGATTTCGAGCTTAGTGCTTGCCATTATGTCAATGGTTGATTTTTAAGCCTTTCTTTTGCGTCGTCTGATGAAGGACTTTAGTTTTGACTCCNACCCCCCCCCCCCACCCCTCCCTCGGTATTTGATTCTCTTTGTTTAGGCTATGCATACATAAATGCGTAGACATTCACCTCCTCTCACCTTGATGATAAGTTGTGCCCCACATATTTTTCTCACATATATTTACATGTGTGGTATTTAGGCTTTAGCTGGCGCAAATATATTAATGTCTATTTCTTGAGAGCATTAATCTCTTATCGTCTACATATGGTGCATTTGGCAAATTGTTGCGAATTGGTACCTTGAAAATAAATAAGTTAATTTTCAAACCAAATGAATGAAACTCGCAATCTCAAAGCCAATTTTCCTAAGCTTTATTCGACACATTTTGGGTAGATCAGACATCTTTGCTATTCACACGTTGCTGTTATTGGCCATCTCTTTTCCTCTATGCACGTCAAATGGTTATCGTCCTTGCTATCTCTAACTTGATAGGAACCCACATTGCCTGCTACGCTGCTGTATGTTGATGTAAATGTGTTTTTTTAATTTTCCTTTTTACTAGAGGAGTTTTCTATTGGGGAAATCATTTTCAGTCGTTCCTTTCTTGATCAAGGTGGTCATAATTTTGCATTCATCTGCACTAATAACCATCGATTTTGTGACACGTGCATTGACTGCTACGCTGCCAATGTGCGGATCAGTCTGTAATTTTCTAAATTATTTTTTTTCATGTCTTACACTTTTTTCCTATCTGTACAAATTCCGTTGATTTCATTTCTTCTTCTCCTTTAGATTTGACATTTTGCCTTATGTGGCCTTTGGTTGTTTTTTTTTATGAATTCATACTGACCAAACCGTTCGGTTTATCTCTCCTTTGGCACGCACACACACACACCCACACCCACACTTCCCTCTTCCTTTACTCTTATCCTCTTCCCTCTCCCCCCTTGGACGTCTACTGGCCCTCGTAAAGAGAATACACAAACACGCGCTACAGTGAGTGAGAGGGGGGGGGGGGGAGGGGAGAGAAAGAAACGCCAGCGGGTGGCGAGCAGTCTCTCCTTGCATTCGATCACGCCGCACACACTATGCGTATACGCGCGTTCGAGAATACACGTTTACCAAATTTGAATTTTGTATTCAATGGGTGTTGCTTGGGGCTCTGTTATTGTGTCTTATCTTGTGTGTTGGTACTAAGAGACAAAAAAATCATACCACACCACTCGAGCTAGGCGAGGCGTTTATGGTCGTTTGATTGCGTTGGTTGTGTCATTTTTCGATCGGGTAACTTACAGCCTGTATTGGCCTACCACTTCTCCTTTTTAAACTTAATTCTCGTACGTTATCTTGCCTTTAGAAATCATGCTTTTTGTGCTCAATCTTTATTTCTTCTTTTGGGGAGTCATGGTTATTTTATGCCTAAATAGTTCATCAATTCAATTAAAATACCAGTATATGTGTACGGTTAGTTCGTCAACTATGGAATTTCATTTTATGGATTGCCCAGGGGTGTGTGTGTGTGTTCATGGAAAATTTGAAAATACTTTGCCTTATTTCATTTCGAATGTACCGAGCTTTAATCTATGCTAATATTACTTTTTTGATTTAACTTACATAGGCTTCCTTTATTGGAGCTTTTGTGCATCGTTGGGGCTCGAACCCGTGTTTTCTTATCACTTGAATTCCCACCGCTTAGGAATTCGGATCTTGTAGCCCTTTTTTATTTGGTTTTGTTTGAATCTTAAGCTCCTGCACCATATCAAAACAATCGTTAACCAATTAACCCACGTCTTTTGGTCACTCCATTACTAAAAAGGTAGTAGTAGCTTTGGACTAAATTTTGGATAGTCAACATTCTGAAGTGACTTCGATTAAATTACCATCGAACCCGTTAGATAACCCTCTTAGTTTTGAATACCTCGGTCATATCTGATTCCCGAGCATTACATCTGTGAAATACTGGATGAATGGGACTTTGGTTCTTTCAGCATTAATATTTATCACATTATTCTATGTGCGCATGAAATTTGATCCTTGCTGACAAATGCAGTTCACTACCCCCCCCCCCCCCCCCCCCACCAATGCCAGCAATGAATTTTGCCCAGTACTCTTCCTATGCCTAGGGTGATGGCTCCCTTTCAATTTCAGAAGATGAAATCCGATTGTCCCGGGGTACAGAATTTCATTAAATATATATGTCATAAAATTTATAAATTCGGTGAAAGTTGTTGTTGTTTTTTTAATCTTTGTGATTTGTTATGGTATAGTGTGTGTGTGTGTTGTTAAATGCCTGGTTAAGTCTCTATTTCCCGAACCTATCAAACGCTAATGTCCATCATTTACGCAATAATGAAAATCCACGCACGTGTGTGCACACATTTTTTGGGCAAGCACAGGAGGCGTATTGCAGCAATGGTAACAGGCTGGGTAGGACTGGTAATTGTGCGCAGATTCTGGGAATATTCGAGCCACTTCTGTCTCCTTGATGATGAGTCAAGCATCTGAAATATAGAAAGCCAAACAGGCGCGCTCTCTCTCTCTCCTACCTGTCCAGTAAACTAGTTATTGGTGGCACTGGTTTTTGAGGCACTAACTGTAGGTACAGGCAACAGGGAAAGCATAGTTTTTTTTGTTTATGAGTGATGTTAATTCATACAAAATTATAGTTCCTACTTTCTTATTGGTGTATCGCCTCCACTATTTACTAGGTCTCTCTTGCTCTCCAATATGCAAATTTGACCTATGCATACATAATCGGAATTTGCAAATAGGAATACAAGTAGGTGTGTAGGCAATATAGTTTGGATGTGAGGATTTTCCGAATAAACATGAAATTTTAGCCCCTTAGGACATCGTTTTCCTTCGTTTGTCAGTCTATCAGCTCCGACACCAACTTATTCTCTGTTAAAGGGATAAATAGAATCTCTTCATTTACTTGAAAATCAGTCAGTCGATTTAGCGTCTTAATAGAAGTTATTTTGAGGTCTCATTCTTTGAATAAATACTTGATTTTCCACGATTTTTGTGTTCCGACGGTCGTTATTCTGGTGGCTTGCCGTGGGTTCAATATCCAAAATGTTCCTCAGCTCACTAGATCAATTTGTTTCCCCTCAGGGTAGAATTAGTAGACACAATTTGAGGTGTAACTGGTACTCTGTCCTCATATATGGGTGTCTCTACTAAGGCAAAGGTTGGGAGTTCGTTTATTATCGTTGAGTTGGTACTTCTACTCTTTACTGGGAAATTGAATTAAAATTTTTCTGGTGATATTCATTTACTCCGTCATCTGCTCGGTCTACTTTTTAAGATTTTACTTCTCTTTTGTAGGAACCGGTGTTAATACTTTTTTCCATTTTACACTTAATTTTATGAGGTGTAGGATATGTGAATTTATAGGATTGAGATGAGTAAGGCTAATGTTATGTTGAATACAATTTCCACCGTTGTACAAACAAATTTTGTAGACACTGTATGTTCGATTAGTCATACTTGAATTCACGTAGATACAAAGTCCTCGGTACTAATTAGTCTTGTAATTGGCTGACTGCCTGGTGACATGGGAATCATATGAAGGAGGGTTTGTTTAACTAGCTAAGCTATGATGAAATCGCTATTCACTGGGTGGTTGGAATTCGGGTGCTTTGATGAAGCCACTCTCTAAAATAAGCTCTGTCTATTAGCTTCTTTAATCAGAGGAAAAATGTCGTTTCTTGGATTGGATAAAAATAACTCCTCCTGTTCCCCCCCCCCCCCCCCCCCCCCCCCCCAACACCCCTCATGCACTTGTCTCCCCCCCCCTCCCTGAATTCATGTTATTTTCAGAGAAAGATTTGTTGAAAATTACGACGTGATTTCTTGTTGTATTTTTTTTTTGCTCGTGTACTTTCTACTACTATCTTTGACAGTCACCCAAACTGACTTAAATATCAGTTTTTTATCAGAAGGAAAAAATTCCTCTAGGCTTTAATCGGTTTACTCCCTTGAGGATAATTGAACTTTTCGCTAGATTTAATATCTGTGAGGGTTGCATGTTAGATTTTAATTCTAGGCCTAATTTAAGCCGTCACGGAAGTCGATTTTACTTAGACACTGAAACCTCTTGATTTATTTTAAGCCCTTATAAATAACTTTCAAGTGCGTTCAGAAAAGTGTTTTCCAATATTCACCCTTGGTTGAGTGCCAACATCATGAAGGTTCATTGCCGAGAAGCTGACATTTGACCATTCGTGTTGTAACCAGGTTTTGCCTTGTACACCTTGCTACTTCTTTCATTCTGTGGTCATGGAATCTGTAATCTCTGACTTCTTAGACGAGGATATTAACTGCTATTTGTTTATTTATTTCAAATGGTAGGCGTTATGATAGTCATCATTAGCCCTTTAGCTGACTTTGGATTTCATTGAGAGGAGGAACATCATAGTGAGCAAAATTCGACAGGGGGGGGGGGGAAAGAAGAGTGATTCACAGATGTAAGGAGACAGATGGACCAAATGCAGAAAAAAGTGGTCGAAGTGGTCGAATTCGATATACAGTGGGGTCATGGTAGTTTAAAGTCAGAAGTCAACTACCGAATAATAGACCTTTTTGCCGTATGAGCATACGTTGACCAGGGTGCACCACGTGGAGGTAAGTCTATCAAAAATATGATCACTGGTACTAGCCAAGCCGATTGCGCCCTTCTTGTCGTTGCGGCTGGCGTTGGTGAATTCGAAGCTGGCATCAGCAAGAATGGACAAACCAGAGAGCATGCTCTTCTCGCTTTCACTCATGGTGTAAAGCAGTTCGTCGCCATCAATAAGATGGATTCTGTGAAGTAAGATGAATAGCGATGCAATGTGATCGCAAATGAGATGAAATCATACATCAAGGTGGTCGATTATAATCGGGTAAAAGTGCAAATAGTGCCAATTTCCGGTTAGGAAGTTGATAACATGCTTGAGCGGATCACTAGCATGCCATGGTACAAAATACCAACTATTCTACAAAGTATTGACATGATTGAATCACCAACTCACTCGGTTGATAAGTCACTTCGTCTTCCTCTTCAGGATGCATTCAAAATTGGTGGTATTGATACCGTTCCGGTTGGCCGTGTTGGGATTAACTGCTATAATTGTATAGAATATGGCAATGAGTTTATAAATGTTATCCGTTCCTTAAACAGAAGCATTTAGGAGGTGGTTTTAGCTGTATTTATGTCACTTTTTCTGATGCCAAGAAACATTTTTTTGACTTCATATTCCTCACACTCCTTCTGGCGGAATGGTATTAATCATACTAGGAACGTGTTTTGATTTATATAAATGCGAAAAGTGTTTTGGATGCGACCTGTGAATTTATGGTGTTCTTGAATTGATTTTTTGATACATGTAATAATACTTTCCGCAATTTGACAACTGACTTTCCCTTTTCACAAAATGTATCCTTTAATGGTTTCTAATCACCCTCTTTTTCCATTGTAGAAATCAAATCCCCACAAATTTCAATCAAACACCACCACCACCACCTTCTTTTTCTTCGTCGTCTCAGATGCCACCCACAGCAATGGGCGCCAGGACAAGCGCTCCAACACAACCTTCCAACAACTTAGCCACTTCCAGCCAGCGCGTCTCCATACCATCGTCTCAGGAGTCGACTGTTCCCGCCCAACAACCACCAACATCTTTCGCCTCCTACTCTGCGGTTCCCTTCCCAACCCCCGCACCTTCTAGTAGCAATGCATTTGCCCCATCGCTTCCACAGCAATATCCCCAGCCGGTTATGATGCAAGCACAACAGTATAATCAACAGCATCAACAAATGCCTCCTCCTCTTTCAGCTCCTTTCTACCCTCCGCCCACCATGGCCACGAGTCCAATGAGTTATGTTGATGATAGCAATGGTAACTCACAGGTGTTACCGAATGAGAGATTTCAAGCATCACCACAACTGCCACAATTGGAGATGGTGCTTACCCTTTATCCATTCACTAAAAATCAAGTGAGTGTGCGTGCAATCATATCTAGAGAGATGTGCTTATATTTCCTAAAGTCACATAGGACAGTGCTTTCAACAACCCACCTTGAGCAAAGACATAGCATGTCTATAAAAATTCATAACATCGCATTATTATTCTTTCTATTCCATGTATAATGCTTTTTTCTCTTTTTTTTTCAGGTCGAAGAGCTTTCTTTCAATGCGGATGAAGTCCTCGAAGTCCTGGACAAACCTGTTGACGATCCGAACTGGTGGCGTTGCCGCAACTCAGCAGGGAATGTCGGTCTGGTCCCAAAGAATTACATCCGTATAATTCGCAATACTGCTCCTCCCATGTCCCATCATCATGCTTCTCCTCCATTAGTGTCGTCGGCGTCAGTTCAACCCGTGTCAATGCCACCTTTTCAGCCGATGCCAATGATTGATCCGCGTGCTGAGGAGGTGCGAAGGAATTTTCTGAGGGGCTCCCCAAACGCTTCCCGATTCGCCAATCAGCCCTGGTACTGGGGCACAATCTCCCGCTCTGAGTGTGAATCCCTCCTCACAAACTTGGGTTCTGATGGCGAATTCTTTGTCAGGGATAGTGAGACTCATGTAAGTCCAAATCAATAATGCCGTATAAATATACTGAATGAATTTGATTGATGATAAAAGTAATACCACTAATGATCATGGTAGCTGGAAAGGATTTAAAGTTTTTGGCTGTTACTAGATTGCTGAACTTGCTTTAGGTGGAAATTTGAAATGGGAAATAAGTGTCTGCTTATTTTCTTATTAAGTATAGGAGTCATTAGCGTCCGTTTTAACTGTACCATCCTATCGATTGTTCAGTTTATTTCAGAAAAGACCTCTACTTATTTAATCCTGTAACAAATTTTTAACGCATGCATTCCATTATTATTACGATTCGCCAATCGATTCCAATGCCATGAAGATATGCTACTCATGCTCAAATTCTTAAAAATAATAGGGCGAAGGCAAATATTGGCCAGACAGGGCTGTTCTAGTAACCAAACCATTATCGGTTGTATTTGTGGATTGTTAGCTAACAAATATCCACATGTTGCAGAATATTAGTAATCAGACAAGTGGCATAAAGTCGACGAATGGCCGTTGGCATTCACAATTCCTCCGCCTGTCACGGTTTTGACGTAAAGTACATGTACATATCGTATTCATGGCAAACATTCTTTCACTTTTGCTCTTGTTCGTGCTGAATCTTATAATAATTTGATGAACATCATTCTGGCCAACTTTCCTCTTCAACTGTAAATTATTCGCGCTATTAATATCTCGTTTCTCTCTCTCCCCCTCTCTGAAGCCATTGTTCGCCGGGGGGGGGGGGGGGGGGGGGGGGACTGGTAATGTAAAATGATAGATGCGAATTTCGGATTTAGATTTGGTAAAATTGAAAACGGTTTTTAATAAAATGTTGTTACCCAACCATCTAAATTGACTCTCTCGACTTCGCGAACTTCATTTTAATTCCAGAAGCAGAGCACATATCCTGACATTTGAAAATCGGTCGATGAAGCAAGGAACTGTATGCTGGGAATTAGGATAATCCATTCCATTCAGATCCTAGATTTATTAGGTCAATTGTTGTTTCAAGTTGAAGTTCTCTCGCCGTTTTATTTCTTTTCATCATCATACCCTACAAGAAACATATTGGCGGCATGTTTTCATGCAATTTTCGAAACCATCCTTTTTTGCGTTAATCCTGTAGCATTCATCTGCTGAACAAAGAGCTCTACCAGTTTGTGGTGATGTGATGCTCTTTTTTATCTTTTGGGGGTATTTTCTTATTAAGTAGATCGTATGCTTCCGGCTTAGTCTAATTGATATGCATGGTAAATGAAATTAAATTTCTTCTCCTCTTGGATTGGTAATAGTAGGCCAGTCAGTAAAGTTAGTAAGTTTTGATAAAATGCCCATTTGATCTGAAAATCACGAGAAAGGCCAATCTTGTTTTGCTGTTATTTTCTCTTGTGTTTTTTTTCGTTTTTTTTGACTTTCCCTTTCTCACTTTTTTTCGTCCCAACTGGGGAGGAAAAGAAAGCCTCCTCTTTCTTGATCCGCGTTTGTTTTGCTGAACTTTCAGCTGTGTTGTGGCTTTTGTCGCAGTGCCTTTACTACTTCTCAGCGGGAGTGTTTACCACTTTATTAAAGTCTAAATGGTTTTAAATGAAGTACTCATTAGTTGATCAAATCGTTGTGTGATGCGGACTTTCGTTATTCATCTCATACTAGTAGTAGTTGGAGATGCAGGTTTCAATTCTGAAAAGTAGCTATTTCAAGTACCAATTAGAAATCGCGCATTTTGCCAACCGTTGTTTGCGCCCAGACACGATGAGACAAACAATGCGCGATGTTTTTCTTACACAGACTGATTGTTCAAAATTTTTAATTAGCAATAAATTTCATTGTATTGTTTTGGGGGCTAAAAATATTTAACCCCAAGGCAGATTGGGAACTCGTCAGCAATTGCATGCTCTCCTCTCTCTCCCTTTTTCGATCGGTCTACACTAAAGCCACTTCTGCAGTTTATGGCAAAGTGATTACAGTCTGCGGATGCAAATTTCGATTTTAACTCTTTAAAGCGATCAATAAGAATTTAATTCATGCAACAAATCAGGCCGAGCTGCATCTATTTTGGCGATAATGTGTATTAAAATTATTGTTGACAAATTATCCCAAGAATTTGTATGTTTATTTTCAACTGCGCAATCGGCCTTGAAGCGTCATTAGTGACTGGAGTGTCATATGAATTTATCTCTCTCTCTCTCTCTCTCTCTCTCTCTCTCTCTC